GGGGGGGGGGGGCCCCGGGTTTTGGCCCTAAAAAATTTTCTTTCTAAAAAAAAACCCCCAAAACAATTCTGTGTCCCTCAGTAACAATTCTGTGTCCCCAGTAAAAATTTCTGTGTCCCGATAACAATTCTGTTCCCCATAAAAATTCGTGTCCTCGTAACAATTCTGTGTCTGCCCCCGAGTAAGAATTCTGTGCTGTCCCTGTAACGTTTCGTGGCCCTAAGTAACGGTTCGTGGCCTCAGTAACAATTTCTGTGTCCCTGATAACAATTCTGTGTCTGTCCCGAGTAAAAATTTTGGGGCCCAAAAAAACGGTTCTGTGCCCTCAGAAACAATTCCTGTGTCCCTGAAGTAACAATTCTGTGGCCCTAAGTTAACGGTTCTGTGGCCCTCAGTAAACAATTCTTTGTCCTCCAGTAACAATTACTGTGTCAGTCCCCTGAGTAACAATTCTTGACTGTCCCCTGAGTAACAAATTCTGTGTCCCTGATTAATGTTTCGTGGCCCAAGTAACATTTCTGTGCCCTCAGTAACAATTCTGTCTGATCCTAGAGTAACACTTCTGTGTCTGTCCCTGAGTAACAATTCTGTTCCCCTCCAGTAACCATTCTGTGTCCCTCATAACAACTTCTGTTGTCCCTGAGGAAACAATTCTGTGTCCCTCAGTATCAATTCTGTGACCCCAGTAACAATCTCTAGTGTTGTCCTGAGTAACAATTCTGTGTTTCTGTCCCCCTGAACAGAATTCTGTGTCTGTCCATCAGTAACGTTTCTGTGGCACTAAGTAACGGGTTCCTGTGAGCCCTCAGTAACAATTCTGTGTCCTGAGTAACAATTCTGTGTCCTTGTCCCTGAGTAACAATTCTGTGGGCCCTAAGTAAGCGGTTCTGTGGCCCTCCAGTAACAATTTCTGTGTCCCAGATCGCCTGCCGTAACAATTCTGTGGCCCTACAGTAACGGTTTCTGTGGCCCTCAGTAACAATTCTGTTGTCCCTCCATTAACAATTACTGGTGTCTGTCCTCCTAGAGTAACAATTCTGGTGGGCCCTAAAGTAAACGGTTTTCTGTGGCCCTCAGTAACAATTCTGTGTCCCCTGAGTAACGTTTCTTCTGTGGCCCTAAGTAACGGTTCTGTTGCCCTCAGTAACAATTCCTGTGTCCCTGAGTAACAATCTGTGTCTGTCCCCTGAGTAACAATTCTGTGGCCCCTAAGTAACAAATTCTGTGGCCTCCTCAGTAACATTTCTGTGTGTCGCCTGAGTAACAATTCGGTGAGTCTGTCCATGAGTCACAATTCCTGTGGCCCTAACTAATGTTTCTGTGGGCCCTAGAGTAACAGTTCTGTGTTGCCCTCCAGTAACAATTCTGTGTCCCTTGATAACGTTTCTGTGGCCCTAAGTAACAATTTCTGTGGCCCTCAGTAACAATTCTGTGTCTGTCGGTCCCTGAGTAACAATTCTGTGTCCCTAACATAACGTTTCTGTGGCCCTAAGTAACAGTTCTGTGGCCCTCAGTAACAATTCTGTGTCCCTGTGGTCAGGGCTCCCAGGTATGACCAGAGAATGTGTGACTGACGCAGGGAAACGCAGACTTCAGATATGGGATAAAACAATATAATTTATTAACAACTAAACAATACAAACAAGTAAACGCAGTGCAATACTAAACATAATACAGTGCAAACAAACCAAAACCAACCACCCACAGATAACAGTAACATACAAGCAAGCGTCGTCAGGCAGGCCGGGTCAATATCAATTGGCAGGTAGGTAACAGGGGGAGCAAGCGGAGAATGGTCGGGGTCACAGGCCAGGTTCAGCACCGTAGCAAGCAGCGTAGTACAGAGGGTCAAGCAGAGGGATGGTCAGGTGTCACAAGCCAGGGATCAGAACAGGTAGCAAGCATGCGTAGTACAGGGGGGGGGGGGTCAGGGGGTCAGAGGGATGGTCGTCAGGGTCACAAGCCAGGATGTCAGGACAGGTAGCAAGCAGCGTAGAACAGAGGGTCAGCAAAGGAACAGAAACAGGATGCTGGGACAGATACAGGGCCCAGGACAAACACACACCAAGGCAGATCTGTGGGTCTGGCCATCCCTTAAATAACCCCAGCATAATCAGTTCCAGGTGTTAGCTGGCTGCAAAGTTGAGTCCTCTGATTGCTGGGAGCACCCGCTGGCCACCCTGGTACTGCAGATTCAAAAGGCAGGTTGAGTCCACCCACAATTGCTGGCCAGTCCATTCCTGACACCCTGATAACGTTTCTGTGGCCCTAAGTAACAATTCTGTGTCCCTGAGTAACAATTCTGTGGCCCTAAGTAACGGTTTCTGTGGCCCTCAGTAACAATTCTGTGTCCCTGAGTAACAATTCTGTGGCCCTAAGTAACGGTTCTGTGGCCCTCAGTAACAATTCTGTGTCCCTGAGTAACAATTCTGTGTCTGTCCCTGAGTAACAATTCTGTGGCCCTAAGTAACGGTTCTGTGGCCCTCAGTAACAATTCTGTGTCCCTGAGTAACAATTCTGTGGCCCTAAGTAACGGTTCTGTGGCCCTCAGTAACAATTCTGTGGTCCTCAGTAACAATTCTGTGTCTGTCGAGTAACAATTCTGTGGCCCTAACTAACATTTCTGTGGCCCTAAGTAAACAGTTTCTGTGGCCCTCAGTAACAATTCTGTGTCCTGAGTAACGTTTCTGTGGCCCTAAAGTAACAATTCTGTGGCCCTCAGTAACAATTCTGTGTCTGTCCACTGAGTTAACAATTCTGTGGCCCTAACTAACGTTTCTGTGGCCCTAAGTAACAGTTCTGTGGCCCTCAGTAACAATTTCTGTGTCTGTCCCTGAGTAACAATTATGTGGCCCTAACTAACGTTTCTGTGGGCCCTAAGTAACAATTCTCTGTCACTCAGTAACAATTCTGTCTGTCCCTGAGTAACAATTCTGTGGCCCTAACTAACGTTTCTGTGGCCCTAAGTAACAGTTCTGTGGCCCTCAGTAACAATTCTGTGTCTGTCCCTGAGTAACAATTCTGTGGCCTAACTAACGTTTCTTTGGTCCTAAGTAACAATTCTCTGGCACTCAGTAAAAATTCTGTCTGTCCCTGAGTAACAATTCTGTGGCCCTAATAACGTTTCTGTGGCCCTAAGTAACAGTTCTGTGGCCCTCAGTAACAATTCTGTGTCTGTCCCTGAGTAACAATTCTGTGGCCCTAACTAACGTTTCTGTGGCCCTAAGTAACAATTCTCTGGCACTCAGTAACAATTCTGTCTGTCCCTGAGTAACAATTCTGTGGCCCTAACTAGCGTTTCTTTGGCCCTAAGTAACGATTCTGTGGCCCTCATTAACAATTCTGTGTCCCTGAGTAATGCTTCTCTGTCCCTAAGTAACGTTTCTCTGTCCCCAAGTAACGTTTCTGTGGCCCTAACTCTGTCCCTAATACAGAGCGGTCTGCCTCTCTTGAATGACTGGAGGCAAATGAAGAATTCTAAATGGCCGCTATTTATAGCTCGACCATTACACAGTGCTGGCTGGCTGGCTGCTGATTGGCTAATGCGATCACATGTCATTAAGGAATGCATTAAGGGTCAGCGCGCCTTGTCTGCGCGCCTTCCCAGACATCCCCGCTCCGTCGCCGCACATGTCCGCCGCCATTTTAGGAAAAATTTTGATTATTAATATTCGACTCGCGAATTCCACTTCGCCTACTTCGATTCGCTCATCTCTAATTAAAATGATTAAGAAATGAAATTAAGGGTAAAAGCTCTGTAAAGTTGTATAAAGTGAGAGCTTTTGAAATCATTTGAAGCAGAGATGGCTGCAGGTTTGGGATGTCTGTGTGCAACTGACCCTTCCATTGCTCCTTGATGGACAATGGCCTGTGTGTAGATGACCTCTCCCTTATCTGTCCTGGGTGTCTGTGTAAAAAGGGAGAGAAGAGCTGTTTCTAGCTCTCTCCTCAACCCCCCTTTATAGAAGGTATGTCTGCGAAGTAAGACATTTTTTGACGATCTGTGAAATGACTAGTATAACATGTGATGTTAAAATGTGGGTGATATGCAAGGCACTAGTAAATGTTTAAAAAACTTTTGCAAAAATAAAATCCTAGTTGAAATTGTTACTTTTTACTATGTACTGTAACTCATTAGGTAATTTGAAACAAAGAAAAGAAAATGGCTGATTGTGGTCGACACCCTTTAAACTCCTAAAAGTAGCCATGATTATTATAAATATTTAAATGTGTATCTCCCATTCCAGCCTACTGGGCATGGAAAAAGAAAACTGCACCCAGTGACAAAACCTGTTTGTACCCCTTTAATGACTGTCAGTTGAACAAGATAGTTGACTAGTAAAGTTCTGTATAATGTGTCAAATGTATGACCAAGCTAAGAGTAACAGCTTAAGTTTGGATAATGGTGAATGACAACTAGATATGTACATGTACAGTATATCTTTGTATTGTCCTTATTGGTAATTGTCATGAAGTGTAATATTTTAGGAGTACAAAACTAATGATTTTTCCAAGTTTTCTTGTTAACACAGAAAGAACCAAATCTGTTCCTATAAGTTTAGGAGTTTCTAAAATCTGTATGGGATTCAACAACAGGAAGAACTAGAAAAATTAAAATGGATGGTGACGTATAATGTTTGTGCATAAATGTGGTGAATCTGTGAATGTCATCTCAGCCATGGTAATTATTGACAACTTTTGATGGACGGCCTTTAATGAAAATCCACATGGTGATAATTAATAAATTGATATGAGCTCATTAAATATGGGTAGAGTGCACTCATGAATCATCAACAATAATGGCCATACAGTATGTCTTGTGTCATTTGTAGTATGTGTTCTGTGCTGACCATTCGTTTATTTCTAGGAATGAGTTGTATTGATACCTCACTAAAACCTTTTATTTTGTATAGTTCCTAGATAATACTAAACGGCATTAGTATATGGTTGATTGGAAAGAATTAAAGAAGAAGATTACAGCCTCCATGGACAATTTGCGTAGTTTTGTTATTGTCGTTATTTTTATAACGACAATAATCACTAGAATGTGATCAAAAGTCGCTGTTAGAACTAATTGTAAATTTGGCAGCAAATAATTTTGATGCTGCATGAGTTAAGAGTTTTTTCTGGTTAGGTTGAATAGAGAAAAACTTAGTATTTGATTATTAGTAATATTATTTTCACATCTGGGATGGTTTACTTGTTTGTTTGTGTTTTGAAAGGTAAAGAATACCCAAACATTTACACTCAAAATGTGGTTGTACATCTTTCTTTATTGTTCCTTCCTGTGTGTATTTAAGATAGATTATGGTGGCATGTTTTTAGGTATATTCTGCCATAATCATTGTAGTGGAATTGTGAGGCAGAACCACTGGTGGAGTTAAAAACAGAATCCACAGGATGTGCACAGTACAGGGAGAGAAAGGATGATAATAAAGTAAAGGGTTAACTTGTTTACATGAATGACAGCTTAAATTTAAGCTAATCATCATTTTGGTTTATTGCAATGGATGCAAATTTTAAAGTAAGTCCTTTAAAATAAGGTGCTCAAAATACTGATATATACATTGTTATATCTGACACTCAGTGATCCTTTGGCCGTCACGTTTGATACACCTGAATGAGTGTCCATAAAAATTTTCTTGGTAGTTAATCATTGGGAAATGGGTCCCCAGGTTTGATTTTCTTCAACCCTCCCCAAATGCTTGGGCATGGGACTGGCATGTAGAGTATGGTGACATATATGTATGGGTAATTTGTGGACACATACTGGGGTCAATATAGACAAGAGCCAGTTAGCCTGACAGAATGTTTTTAGAATGTGGGAGGAGACCGATGTACACAGAGGAAACATACATTTGAAGATAGTTTATTCAGATACAGAGTAGTGTAGACTTAAGGTGGTAGATGGGTGGTGTTCATGTAACAATATTTCACCCTTAACAAAGGCTGAGTTTTTCTTTAACCTCCTCGGCGGTATGATTCTTTCTGATTTTTTGTGCTGAAAGCGGTACCATTTTTTTGCATGGAAATATGTAGTTTTTTATTGTAGGCTGTAATTTTTAGGAATAACTCACTGAAATCTGTACGAACAAGAGTCTATTAAACATTCCGGATATGATAAAATTTGAAACACGAAATCATAAATTATAATTTAATAAATAATCATAAAAAATAATAATATAAATAATAATAAATTTAATTCAATAATATAATCAAACCAAAAACACTGAAATTTGAAATACAGAGGCAAATTCGCACATCGCTGAGCAAAGTCGCAAAATCGTTTTCAGTGTCTGATGATGAATTTCCCCACGAATCATCACTCAATTCTGCAAGTGGTTCTGATTTACTATCGCTGCTCTAAAACCGCTTTTGACCTAAAGGGACGCTTTTTGGACGCCATGGACTTTTCTCAGTTTCCAGGCAGAAAGAACATTCAAAATGCAGGCAGGGCGCAGGACAAAGCAGTAGGGACAAAATATATGTGAAATGCATTGAAACAGCAATGACAGCAAAAATGACATTTTAAAAAAATTTCTAATTTCCCGCCGGTTCCGGCGCCCATACGTCCCAACGTCATAGGGACCGGAACACAGAAGCCGGATGCCGGCATCGGCCGGAGGAGATGGCCGGGGACGCTGCAGGGGACATATCGCGGGAGCGAAGGACAAGGTAAGTGCTGCAGGGACCCCCAGAGCAGCGCCTCATGGTAAGCCCGAGTGTAGCTCGGGGTTACCGCTTTTGGTATAGAAATTTTACCCCGAGCTACACTCGGGATTACCGCTAAGGAGGTTAAGTCAGATCACTAAGGATCACGGATTTACCTATTCAGAAATCTATAATGGGCTATATGGGCATTGTTGTTAGTTATGGAATGTTGAACTGACAGTCTTGGTAGCACCTGCCTTGGTGTCAACCACAAGCATGTTGGAGAAAGGAGACAAAAGCTTTTGACAGCAGCAACTGCCAGTAAAGACTTTGCCACTGACCAGCAGCTGAACTGTTAGTGCAAGTTCCATCTGCTTTGATGGTCATGTACCCGAATTGTTCCATCTGCTATCATTGTCAAGCACCTGAACTGTTCTATC